TTGTAGCAGATTTAGTGCCAGTGCAAGTGCATAAGTGCACGTAACCACTAGAGCAGTAGCTAATCTTTGTTTTTTGACAATTGCTCTAGGGCCCTGGGGAATACTGTGGTCTAGGGGGAGATAGCACAGTGAGTAGCAGGCAGTTGGCTAGCGATTGTTTGTCTTTGTTTTGTTTTCATTTTAGTCGTCCATCTCGTCTTCTTCAGCTACTTAATTTTACTTTTCAACTTTTTACCACTTGAAGAAAAATGTCGGAGACTGAGCAGCTGTCTGGAGCTAATGATATGTACGACGATGAGTTGGATTGTGTGTATGAAGAAGGTAAAAATAAGGAAGTGGATGTGAAAGAAGAGGAAGAAGATTCAGAGACTGATTACGATGCTGTGGGAAATTTTGATCAGTCAGCAGGAAATGGTAAGTGGATTCATTTTACACATTTCACTTTTTGCTCATGTTACTTTTTTGTTAAAGCAGTGATCAAAACTGAAGAGCAGAATGAAACTACAATTGATATGTTCGATGATGAGTTTCATGCGATTATGGAACGGGATTTTTCTGCCGAAAAGAATGCCAATGAAGCGAGTGAAGCAGTGAGGGTCAATGAAGAACACGAAACGGATTTGGATGCCACTGAAATTGAAGATGATGATTATTCAGCAGTCAGTGGTGAGTGAGTGGGCAGTGTTTGTTTGTTTGGTTCTTTATATTTACACTTTTCATTCTGCAGAACCGGAGCCAAACACCGAGCCAGTGGTCAATTGTATCTCGAGCAGTGCATCAGGTGAACAACAGCGGAATGGTCGTCGAGGTCGAGTTAAAAGCCACAAGTGTCAGCAATGCGGCAAAAGCTTTCCATCTCCATCTGCTCTTAAGCTACACCAAGTGGTGCACACTGGCATTCGAGCTTACAAGTGCCCAACATGCTCCAAATCATTTGGGCTGAAGGGTAATCTCACCACACACCAACGATTTGTTCACACCGACTCTCGACCCTTTCAGTGCTCCATTTGTGAAAAGACGTTCAAATGGAAGCTTGGTCTCAAAAAGCATCTTCACGCTCAGCATCAGCAGTAGTGTCGCACCTTTGCCGTCTGCTCGGCTGCAATCTTTCCTTCGGTAAAATCATCTTTAGCTGTCATCGATGATGTAACGTCTACCAACATAGCAAACAGTTTTGTCAATACCTTCTCACCAGTTTTCACACCAAACACCATTTTAACTCAACAACATCAATAAAGTTTTTATTTGAACAACAGCTGCCAATCATTCAAAAGATTATGCCGATCTCTGTTGTAACATTTAAAAAGATGAGAATTTTCAATTCTGTTGTAAGACGATTTTGTCACGATCGTTTGTCACGTACTCTATGAACCTGATCAGTGAAAACACGTGCTCAGGTAACCGCTTGAGAAGCCAGCGACTCACTTCTGTTTGGATTCTGTCGCCCTTTGCTAACGTTGTTTGCTCGTCGTTGGCGAAGCTCTTTTCAATTTCTCAGTGTTTGTACAACAGAAGAAAATGTCTGACCATAAGCAGCAGGATGAAACTTATGACATGTACGATGAAGAGAATAATTGGTTGTACCAAGAAGTGGTCAACTTGGACGAGGATGATGAGGATGAGGAGGAAAGTGAAGATGAGAATGGCGATGAAGCGAATGAAGCTACCGAAGTGCGGGTCAACGGAGAACACGAAACGGATTCGGATGCCACTGAAATTGATGAGGATTATGCGGCAATCAGTGGTGAGTGAGCAGTGTTTATGTGTTCCTTTTGACTTACACTTTTCATTCTGCAGAACCTCAACAAAAC